GAGAAAAAAAACAATTTATAATTTCCTCAAATTATTATTTTTCATATAATGTTATAGCAATTGGTTTTGAATTAAAAACTAATTTCCTAAACACAAAAAACAATCAGATTTTGTATATATATATATATATATTGTATTATATTTCAGTACATAATCATTATATAATAATAATATTATTATAAAATACAAACAAAAACAGCAAATAATTGCTTTAAAAAATAATAATAATAATAAACTAATACTAATGTAATAATAATCTTTATGTAATATACATAAATACAATAAATAAAACCAAAAAATATGTTAAAATAAAATATTTATCATGAATTTTTTTTTTAATAATAATATATTATAATAAATATATATATTCAATATCAACAATAAAAAATAAAATTAATCATAAAAATATTATATTATCTTTTACTGTGAATATTATGTAATTATTATGTAACATATTTTATMTATATATATATATATATATATATATATATATATATATATATGTATACTTTGTATACAGTATATATATACAAATATATATATATATATATATATATATATATTACTATATTACATCAAAATTTGATGATCAAATTATATAATAACTAAATTAATTTATATCTATAATATTAAATTACTATGATATAATATACAGTATATAATGTACAAATATTGTATATTTTGTTTTTATTAGTATAACTTCAAGTAAACTGTTTAATAATAAAAATAATTACTAAAAATATTTGGTAACTCAGTAGATTTAATTTGAATTGAAATTAAACATTATATTTAATAATAATAATAATAAAAATACTTATACATTATGTATGCATTTATTTAAGTATACATATTTATTAATATATATTTTATTTCATATGCATATTGATATTATTTTTATTTATGTGCATATTTTAAAAAAAATTAATTTATGATATCTCAAGTAAGTATCATTTAATATAATTATTTTATTTTGTAAAATTATTTGATTGCATATAATAATAATAATACTGTATAAAAAATAACTAATTAATATTTTTGTTTTGAAAAAATATAATATTAAAAAAACTAGGCTTAATATATTGATTTATTGATTTATTTATTTATTACTGATTGATATAATTAAATATTTTATTTAGTAATTAGTAAAACACTTTTTTTTCTCAATACATTACACACACACAGTACTGTACTTAAAGTGTTACTACTAATAATAATAATAATACTAATAATAATATCAATAGTAAATTGCTATTAATTGAATACATAAAGTGAGTTAATTAATAGTGGAAATAATAACATTGATGACATTAATAAAATCATTTATTAATATATATATATATATATATATATTGAGAGAGAGAGAGAGAGAGAGTCTAATCACCAATTTTTGTATATCAGATAAATGCATTATTATCTCATTGTTAATATATATATATAGTATTTATATAATTAATACAATATAAATATATTATGTATGTGTCGTGTCTATATATATATATATGTTTGTAAATAACTTAAATAAGTAATGGGGATAATAAAAAAAAATTTATTTTATTATTATTATTAACTCCTAACCTGATTCCGATTGATTGTTAACCAAATTGTTGTCAACCATCTCACGACTACTACTACTACTATAATAGTCAACCAAACTATCATCCAAGCCATTAGTTTCCTGTAATTATTTAAAAATAAATTAATTAAGAAATAAATTTATAATATATATATAGAGTATTAATATATTAATTGTTTGTGTGAAAGAAAAAAAATTAAATAATTAATGTTTTTAAATATTAATTTATATTTATGTCTATTATGTCTATTATGTCTATTATGTCTATTAGTACAGTATAATAAAGTTTATTATTATTATTATTCAAAAAATACTAATTATGTAATATATTTTATATTATACTATTTTATTCACACACAAAAAAACAATATATAAAATAAATTGTATTAATTAAATGTATAAAATACTATTTATTGTATTGATATTATATAGAAATTATTAAATAATTTAATGATTTTTTTAGTATTTTTATAAATAATTATTAACAATAATAAATTTTAAGTTTTAAATCTATAATTTTTAATTTATTTATTATCTTAGATTTTAATTATTATTTATTATTACTAATTATTATTATTATTATTATTATTATTATTATTATTATTATAACAATTTAATTAGTCATAAATAATACATTAATTTTATATAAATTATTCATAAACTTAAACTACTAATTCTATTGAATTAAACTACTAATTAAAAAACTAAAAAAATCTATTATTTTCTTATTAATAACTTTTAAAACTTTGTTTTTCAAAATACTAAAATAAAAAAAACACTTTTTTGTTGTTAATTAATGAATTAATCCGTAAGAAAAATAAATAATAAAAAATAAAAATATATAATATTATATATATATACTAATCAAAGTTTTAATGTTTTTTTTATTTAGGAAACTAAGTTAAAATCCCTTAAAAACAAAACAAAAATAAAAAATAATTGTTACATCCATAACAACATATATACAGATATATATATATATATATATATATATATATATATATATATACTGTATATTTATATATGATAATATTATTATTAATAATAATCATAAGCCATAATATTTAAATTAAATGCATTCAAACAAACATAATAAGGCATTAATAATTGAATTCATTGAAAGATTATAATTATTAGCAAATTTTATATGTTGTCATAACTTATGGTCTCTCTCTCTCTCTCTCTCTCTCTCTCTCTCTCTCTCTCTCTATGCTCACTCACTCACTCACTCATCACTAACTAAATTCATCCTAATTTTTCACTATTGGCAACGGGATTAACGTTTTATTGTAATTTTACCCAAATATATAATACTATTTATAAGTATATATATATATATTCATTATGTTATATATATATATATAAAATATAGTTTTAGTGAAAAACTAGAATTTAATCTTTAAATCTGTGACTAATTAGTCATGAATTATGATTTAACGTTATATAACAATACAATCGGCTTAAATAATATGCTCTCTCTCTCTCTCTCTCTCTGCAAAACTTTCTGCAATAATATTTGATGATTTATTATATTATAAATGTATGTTTACCTAACAGTACAGTACAATACTGTATTATATTGTTAATACTGACTAAATAATGACAACATATATTTATATCTGTAAATTTGAAAAATCAATTTTATTGTTGTTTGAATCTAATTATTATTCCTAAGCATATCCTACTATACCATAGTATATATATATATATATATCATCTAATAAACAAAATTATTATTATTATTATTATTATTATTATTACAGTAGTATTAAAATTAATATAAATATCAAGTATATACTGTATAATAATAATAATATTAATATTAAACAATTTTTCATTTGAATAATTACATCAATAATTTATTTGTTTCAACAAATCACATAATAATCTCTCTCTCTCTCTCTCTCTCTCTCTCTCTCTCTTTCTTTCTCTCTCTACTAGTTGTTAGTATTTACCAGTCATTTATATATATTAATTATAGTGTATTACTGTATAATATAGACATTTTGAATGATAGGGTTGACATAATAGTATTATAACTTTCACTAATATCTATATTACTATTATTATACCTTATATTTTCATATTATTATTATTATTATTATTCAACTAATAAAGAGATAAAAGGGTCCACATATAGGTATATATATATATATATATATATTGAATGTATTGAATATAGTAGTATATAATTCAGTACAAAATACCGTATATACTGTATATTATTATCTATTTTGTATTATATGTATAGAAAATATACAAATTTCTCTCTCTCTCTCTCTCTCTCTCTCTCTCTCTCTCTCTCTCTTTCTCTTTCACTCTTTATATTTACATAATCTCCAAAAACTACTGTATTACGATATTATGATATAAATTTTATATATATACTGTATATAAAGTACAGTATATTATATAATCAATATTTGCCAACTATTCACTGGTTGTCGTCAAATATAAAAATAATAGAAATTATATGATAAAAATTGTTACCAAAATTATTATTATTATTACTATTATTATTACTATTATTATTACTAGAATTCACATAAGGTTTCTTTGATATATATATATATATATATATATATATATTTAGTGCCAAAATATTTACTACAATAGTATACTTTATTGACTATGTTTTCTCACTACTCTTCAAACATTGCGATCAAAAAATATTATATTATTTTTGTAAATATAATTTCTTTTTTTTGTTGGAAATAATTTTCACAATTCAATTTATATATAAGTATATAATAATAATAATAATAATAATAATAATAAGAGGAGGCACAGTGGTGTAGTGGTTAGTGTGTAGGGCTAGTAGAGTAATGGAGAGTAAGATCGTGAGTTCGAGCCCTGATGTGGAAAGCAATTTTTCTGAGAAAAAAAAAATTGTTTTAACTGTGCTTCCCGTCCCTGCCCAACCAACGCTGTTTAGGACGGCCAACTTAAGTAGTATGGGGAAAGCGGGGTGCTAAGTGAGGACGAGTTTCTGCCCGACCCGGGTATCGGTACTTCGGTATCGGTGCCCACCTGGGGGTACCCGCAAGGGTGCTCCCACCCGGGGGTGCCTGTAAAAAGGTGCCCCCACCCCGAAGGGACGTCCGCAAGGATGTCCCTTCACCCTTCGAGTAGTTACTCGTCCTCACACGCAATGGCCACTTTTGTTTCAAAAAAATAAAAATAAAAATCCTATTTCAACAAACACATGTTAGTGGTGAGAAATGGGTGGCAATAGACACATGTTAGTGTTGAGCTTTCTCTAGGGACCGGGACCCCGTAAAAAGGCCACAAAATATATAAATATGATTACACGTAGTCGTAGGAATAACGGGGGGTGTTCGGGAGGTACCCTCTCAAATAAATCCCGCGTTCAGCAGGTAGGCATTGACTGCTGTTCGTTAAGTATGCATCATATCCCACGCAGTGATGTGCTATGCGGGCAAAGCTGTGATGTAATGCGACCGCAGACTAGTCAACAAAATCAGACTAACCTCCAAAATGTTTCAGTTCAAGCTGGTTCTCAGCAACAACTGACCAATTTGGTTGACAAATCGCAAAAGCGCATGAGATGGACACATGAGATGAATACCTTGATAATGCGCGAATACTACAGATCAACTCGACTCGAAACAAATATGACTGATTACAGAAACCAAATATACTTAGCATTCAAACAAAAATATCCAGAACTAAATGTAACGGAACAAAGAATTGCAGACCAACGGCGATTCTTAGCAAAGAATAATAAAATATCCCCGATTGAATTACAAGAAATCAAACAACAAGTGGCACATGAACTATCATTAAATGAAACAACTGAATTAAATACCACAGTAGAAGTAGTGCCAGAAATAGAAGAGACACCTACAACAACAGATAACATAAACAATACAAATGATGAAATAAAAAGAATAACAGCAGAAAATGAACTAAAAACATCTTTAGAACAATATAAAGACTTTGAAATAGAATTCAGACCTAAATTACCAAAAATAAGAAGTGGCATTAAAACAAGATCTACTATAATAACGATAAATGATATACTTAAAGATTACATCGAAGAAAATATGTCGTTGAGCGCAATTAATACAATAACGTATTGTGCAGCAGTAGCAGTATCGAGACTCTTAGGCTACAAAATAGAACACATGTCTACAACAAAACCAAATCAAGAAAATGTAATACCTAAATGGCAAAAGCGAATAGATACACGGATAGAAGGGAAAAGAAAAATAATTGGAAGAATAACGCAAGTGTTAAATGGAATCAAATCAAAAAGACTTAACCAATCATTAAAAGATATATACCGATCATTACAGACAAAACCTGGAAAACCTGAATTTGAATCCATAATCCGAAATTACAACGACACATTAAAACAAACAGTTCAAGCACTATCACAAAGAATTAGAAGATATAAAATACAAAGCGAAAGACGAAAACAAAATACAATGTTCTATAATAACGAAAAAATGTTCTATAGAAATCAAAATAAAATAAATTCAAGCAATAATAACAATACACCACAAATAGATGAAATAGAAAACTACTGGAAAGAAATCTGGAGTAACCCAAAGGAATATAAAGAATCTAATTGGATAAATGATATTGAAGATGAAAATAAAAAAATACCACATATGACTTCAGTAAATATAATTAAAGATGACTTAACCGAAGCCCTCAATAAATCCCACAACTGGAAAAGCCCAGGACAAGACAAAATACAAAACTTCTGGTATAAACACTTTACAACAGTTCATCAACCAATGGCAATAGCAATGAATAAAATAATACAAACAGGACAAACCGATGACTTCCTCACTTCCGGAATAACATATCTACTCCCAAAAACAGAAAATACATCAGATCCCAGCAAATATAGACCAATCACTTGCCTAACAACAATGTATAAAATCCTAACATCCATAATATCAACAAAAATATATAATCATTTAAGTAACAACAACATAATAGCTGAAGAACAAAAAGGCTGTATAAAACACTCAATGGGTTGTAAAGAGCAATTAACAATAGACAATATCATAACAATAAGAGCTCGTCAAAAACATAGAAATCTTGAAATGGCATACATAGACTATAAGAAAGCATTCGATTCAGTCCCTCATAAATGGTTATTAAGAGTGTTAAAACTATATAAAATTGACAACACACTGATAAACACATTAGAAAATATGATGAAAAAAATGGAATACTAAATTGTGTGTCAATACAAATAATGGAACAAAAATAAGTACAGAAATCAAAATAAATAGAGGAATATTTCAAGGAGATTCACTCAGTCCTCTGTGGTTCTGCTTAGCTATAAACCCACTGTCATCACTACTTAAAAAGCTAAAAGGCGTAAATCTAAAATCAAGTGATACAAAATATAATCTAACACATCTACTATATATGGACGACTTAAAACTATACGCCGAAAAAGAATCTGATTTAAATGCAATGCTAAAAACAACAGAAACTTTCTCCAATGATATAAATATGGAATTCGGATTAGATAAATGTGCTATAATGAAACTGAAAAAAGGAGTCTATTCTGAAAGAAATCAATACGAAACTGATAACGGATATATAAAGGCACTAGAAAATGGAGATATATATAAGTATTTAGGAATTAAGCAAATGCATAAATCTAAAATGACAGAAGTTAAAGAAGAAATAAAGAAAACATTAAACCAAAGAATAATAAAAATACTAAAATCTCAACTAAACTCAAACAACAAATTCAAAGCCATAAACACTTGGGCTATACCTGTACTGACATACTCGTTCGGAATAATAAAATGGAGTAAAACAGAACTTGAGACCATTGAAAGACATATAAGGCGACAACTTACAATGTTTGGACTACACCACCCTAGAAGTTCTGTAGCACGACTGTGTGTTAGTAGAAAGCATGGGGGTAGAGGGTTACTAAACATTGTAAGCCTTGAAGCCAAACAGCGAGAATTGCTGAGAAAATACCATCAACAAAAATGCAATGTCTCAGAGCTCCACAAAATAACATCAACACTTGATTACAACTACACACCTCTAAATCTCAGCAATAATGAACATCAAATAGAAATACAAAATGAAAAAGAAAGGATTAACACATGGGCCTCAAAAGAACTCCACGGTAGATACAGAGCAGAACTCAACCAAACACACGTAGACGAAGAAATGTCTACAAAATGGTTGAAGTACGCCGGTCTTCATGGAGAGACAGAGGGGTTCATGATGGCAATACAAGATCGAGTGATTCCGACACGAAACCATCAGAAATACATCCAAAAGCTAAATATACCAACAGACAAGTGCAGGATGTGTCATATGGAGTCCGAAACAATAGAACATATACTAAACGGGTGTAAAGTACTCACAAACACCGAGTACCTAAGCCGTCACAACCAAGTAGCCAAAATCATACATCAGGAATTGGCAATAAGATTCGGACTAATCAAAGAACCATTACCATACTATAGATACGAGCCACAAAGTGTAATGGAAAGCAACAGAGCCAAGCTCTACTGGGATAAAGAAATAAGAACAGATAAGACTGTGGCCCACAACCGCCCAGATATAGTACTAGTAGACAAACATCAAGATAAGGCATACATAATAGACATAGCGGTCCCACTAACACACAAACTACAGGACACGCATAGTGAGAAACGCCGAAAATATACAGACTTGGCCTATGAGATCAATAAGATGTGGCGCATTAAGAAAGTTGAAATCATACCTATAATCCTGTCATCAATGGCCGTAATACCGAAAAATCTGGCCCTAAGTTTGGAATCACTGGAAATCAGAAAAACTAAGATCTATGAAATGCAAAAAGCAGTGATACTTCAGAGTTGTAGAACAGTCAGAAAAGTACTAGACTTGAGTTGAGTCTAACCAGTCGTGTCTCTGCCACCAAAAGTGGCCGACACAACTGTGATCACACCGGAACAACCGTGATATACAAAAATAATAATAATAATAATAATAATAATATAGAATATTCTACAATTCACATAAATTATTCTACAATATATTTATATTATATACTGTATATACTGTTTACTAGTTTAATATTATGATACTATTGTAGTTATTAACACTTTATATACTGTACAGAATATATTTAGACAAATTTATTAATAAATAATTTATGGATATGAGAGTTATTATCAATATATATATATATATATATATTTATATATTTGTATTGAAAATGTTTAATAATACATAAAATTAGTAAAATAAAAAGTTTTATTTTACAAACTACAATATATATATATACAATAAATATATATATAATTTATATATAAATAAAATACAGTGTCAAAGACAATAGAGTATTGGTATTGTTTGTTTTGTTATATATATATATATATATCTATTAATATATATATATTTATATATTTATATATCTAAAATAGTAAACTATGTGAAAATGTCAAAGTTTATAAATCAGGTTAAGTATAGTTAAATAGTACTTAACATATAATTTATCAACAAAAAAAATTTAGACATCAATCTGTTAAACACTATAACAATTACAAAAAAACTAACACATATAATTTGATAACTATATTTAAAAAATTAATTAATTAATTAATTAAAGATAATCAACAACAAAAATTAATAATTATCAAATCGATAATTACCATAAATTTAATTATTTAAAAAAAATCCAATTACCATAATTATTTAATAAAATTATATATATAATATATAAATTATTTTAATATATCAATTCAATATATATATATATATTATTTATATTGAATTGATATACTAAAATAGTTTATATATATAATATTATTATATAATATATATATATATTAATATAAGGGTTTATAAACTGTTTAGATTTTATGTTTAAATGAATGGATAGATACCTCAATTTGTTGTTGTTGCTTTGAATCAGATCCCAGTGCAGCCTCCGGCTCATGTATGTAATATCCGGGTCCAGGTTTCTTAATATCGTATCGATGTTGTCGATAAAAGCTTGATAGCGCATCGGTATAGTCATCACCAACACCAGCACCTACTAGACTATCATCATCATTATCATTGTAGCCATCAGCTGGCATCAGGTTATTGTCCAGTAATTCATTATAATTGTTGCCATAATCCTGTTGTTGTTGTCTGCCATCAATCAGTTGTCTAAATAGGTTGTTGTTGTTGTTGTTTCCGTTTTCTTCATCAACATTACTATTGTCTTCATCAGGTGTGTCATCTGATTGTTTGTTTGTTTCAAATGTCGGCAAAAATAATAATAATAATAATTAAATTAGTAATTTTAGAAAATAATAATTTAAATATTTTGTTTATATATATATATATATATATTATTATTAATTGATATAAACAGTATATTATGTATATAATAGATAGTTTTTTTTATTGTATGATACTGTATATTAAAATAACAATTACTGTATTTTTTTTTAATTTATCGGTAATTATATTGTAAATTATTTAACTATCTGTTAACTACAGTATAATAGAGATTACTTGCGTAGAAAAAAAATATTATTATCTTTAACTATATTTACAATTTGTTTACTTAAACTATTATATAAATTAGTTAAAAAATAATTATGAAAATTTACTGTATATTATTATCTATTAATATATATATATATATATATATATATCAAATTATGTTGTATTTTTAATCATCAATAAAAAAATACTATGTATAGATGCTAATTTTTATATTAAAAAAAACTAATAGCTTAATTTTGTATATAATTTTATCAAATAACCAATAGATAATTTAGTGACATATATAAATATAAATATATATTGGGGTAGAGTTTAGATGCTTTAATTAGAGGACAGTCCTAATTACGGGTAGTAGTAGTAGTAGTAGTAGTAGATAGTAGTAGAAATCACTACCTATAAATATTATATACTATTATATACTGTTTTTTTTAATTATCATTATTGAAACAAACAAAAAATTAATATATATATATATACAGTATATCAATGTATATTAGTATATATATATATAGAAAATATTAATAATAGAGTTAGAGCTGACCCCTACTACCAGTAGTTATAATCGGTTTGAAATATAATGGTCTGTTTAATAGTAAGCTCATGGAGTCTATGTCGCCACCATTCAACTGGGAAACTGATTTCAATATCGATTTTTCTAACAACTCAGGCGATACAACTGCCGGCGCTGCTGCTGCTCTTCCTCCTGTATGAGCACCGGTATCAACAACACCAATGATATCTTGATCATCATCATCGACATCATCATCATTGACAACATCGATATCATCAGTGATGATGGGCAGCCATTCAATAATATTACCACTTTTATCATAAAATAATGACGGCTTGTTGTCATTGTTGTTGTTATCAAACGATAGATCAGTTTCATCCACGACTGCAATCTATTTCATATTTATTGTAAAAATAAAAAATTGATTTAAAATTTTTATATTAATATTAGTTGTATTTTTTACAGTTATTACTAAACAATATATTGTATTATAATTAATAGTCAATAGTTATATAATCTGATGATATAACTGTATGATAATCAGTATGTTATATATATATATTCAATGAATATATTTTTTTAGCAAAAAAAACTAATAAATATATACTACTGTTAAATTGAAAAAATAAAATTTAAATAAAAACTATATAATTAAATATATTTTTTTAATTTTATTAGACAATACTATATATTATATTATTATATATTCAGTAAAAAAAATTATTACTATATATATATACAGTATATAAATTTTTATATCTACAAGTTGTTAAATATACAGTATATGTTTATACGGTATATTATATACTATATAATTAAGATTTATATAACATATGGTCTATTATGTCAAAGTAAAGAGAGAGAGAGAGAGAGAGAGAGAGAGAGAGAGAGAGACTACTTATGTGATACAAACCTTATGTTTCGGCAAATCATAGCCTATAATATCATCATCGATGCCATTGTCTATTAATTTTTCTTTAATCAACTTTTTGATAAACTTGAAAACTTTGTCATCAATTTTGATTTTATTATCCATACGTTTCATTGTTTTATAATCAAATTGATAGCGATTGTCACCAGTTTTACGATTGCTATTATCTTTGTTGTTGTCGTCCAAACGCAAGAACAGCTCTTTGGCAAAGTCTGACTCGTAGTCCGGTATGTATTCAATGTCTGATTGCGTTGAATAGGGTTTCTTGCGATTGGTGTCTATGGTTTTGGGCCCCTGTAGTTAAAACATGATAGGGTAGGCAATGAATATATATAGTATATATATATATATATAGTATATAATAAATGGTGAGAGAGAGAGAGAAAAAAAATCAATTAATGAATTTTGTTTGTTTGTTTGCCATTTATTATTGTGTGTTTAATAATATTAATAGCTTATAATAATAATAATAATACTGTATTATATATATATATGTGAAAAAATAAGTGATTTATTGAATTGTCAAACCATTTATGTTTGTCTGTCTGTATGTAAGCATTCATGTCTGTGTGTGTGTGTGTTTTTTATGTATGTATGTGTGTGTGTTGTATATATGTATGTATTTATGTGTGTGTGTGTGTGTGTGTGTGTGTGTGTGTGTGTTGTATATATGTATGTATTTATGTGTGTGTGTGTGTGTGTGTGTGTGTGCACTTGATATGGTAAAGGTCAGTAACCAAACAATACAGTTTACAACTATACTCTCACACACACACACACACACACACACACACACACACACACACACACACACACACACACACATACAAACACACACACACACACACACAGTCATATCAATAAATAAATATAAAAATATATCATACGGTGCTCTGTGCGGTCAAATGTAGTAGCCGTGAGCATAATCCCGGATCGTAATCAATATGCAATCGGTGGGTATAAAGTATTTGTTTGACGACACACTGTGTATAATCATTATCCCAACGATTGCCCGATTCATACAATCGTTGCATTTCGGTCTCCAACAGTCTCAATGTTTTATCATTTAACGAGTGCTGATAAGTGGCCAGTGTTTGGCCAGCGGTCAGGTCCTCTACCCGCTCGCACCGTCCAAATGCGTTGTCTAATAATATATATATATATATATATATATATATATATTGAATAAAATTTATAATAATTTTTTATTTAAAAAATTTAAACTATTAATGTGTATTAAAGATTAGTTCAATCAATAATAATAGATTGTTGAATATTTATTACATTGAAAAAAATTGAAATTGAATTTATTATTAGTATATATACAGTATATATAATTAGATATATTAATAATATTCAATCTAAATGATATAATTAGCATCAATTCCAGCTAAATATTTGACAGTTTATTTTTAGACATTTTAATTACATTAACATTTGTTAACACATTAATTAAACTTAATATCTCATCTGATAAACTTATATAATAACTAAACATCAAAAAAAATTATTTATTTTATTTTAAATATTTTGTTATATAATATATATATATATTTAAAAAATGATTATTAAATAAAATATAAATAAATATCAAAAAATATATCCAAGTCTAAATATATATATATCTAAATGTCAAACTGCCATATAATTATTATAATTATCAGATAATTATTTTGTTGACTGTTTTTAATTAATTTTTAAAAAATAAATTAAAAATATTATATTATATATATATATATATATATATATATATTAAACTTAGTTATCAATACATACCATCTAAACATACTTCCAGTTGATCACAAAGTTCATCACTGAATAGACAACCTATTGATATAATAATAATAAAATTAATATTAATAAACAAATTTTTAGTTATTATTATTTTTTAAATAAAACTATTTTATTTATTTAAATACAATAATATTTTAAAATTATATTATTAAATACTTAATATCTATAGTAATGTATATATATATTGAATCTCTATATTTCATATTAAAGTTATTATAGTATATAATTTATTGCAATTTTTATTATATTTATATATATATATATATATATATATACAGTATATTTACTTACAATAATAATAATAAAACATAAATTATATAACTGGTATATAACTGTAATATATTTTGTATATACAGCTAAGACATTAATAATAAACTAAAATATATATATATATATTTCCAGTTGATATATTAACAAATATAGCTTACATTATTATTATTATCATTATTATATTTAATTGATATAAACTATAGTAGTTTATTAAATTAAATTATTATCATAATAAATCAATAATTATTTCTATACTCATATATATATACTGTATTAATAAAAATATATTTAATATAAATAAAAAATTAATATATTTATATAAAAATTGTGGTGCTAAAAATAATTTATAATATTTATAATATTTATTTTTTAAAAATTATATTTAGAAACTACACTATAATAAAACTATACATTACAAATTAATATTATTATATTTAAATAATAATTTAAATATTTATATATATAATAAATACTGTACTTAGAAATAAGATAAATTTATAAAAAAAATAAATAAATAAATTACATTTTAAATTAATGTAAATTTATATAAATCCTAAAAGTATTATACATAAATAAACTATAATTTATATACTGGTATATATATATATATATATATTACATCTAAGTTTGATATCTAAAATATTTAAAAGATACTTTATAAATATGTTATCAAGGGCAATTTATTTTAATTAAAAAAATTTGTATAATTAATTATGTAAACGATTCTGGGAATTGATTCACAACATAACAACAACAACAACAAAATAAATATATAAATCATTGATAGTTAAAGAAAACAAAAAATTTTTTAAAACAAATTATTTAAAGCAATTTCTAATCAGTTTTATAAATCTCCTAACAATTATTATAAATAATTTAAAACTACATTTAAACAAAATAACTAGATTCTAGATAATAGTTAAATGAAATATAAAAAACAAAATTATTTATATAATATAAACATTTTTTTTAGTTTTGTTTGATTTAGTGTAAATTTTAAATTTTTAAAAAATTTAATAAAATAAAAAACATATGTCAGCGTCAAAATCATAATACATTCAAACATATACTACTACTACTACTACTACTACTACTACTACTACTACTACTACTACTACATAATTAACAATTATTTTAATAGTCATTAACTAATATTCAAAAAAAAGATATCTTATTGTTATTTATTATTTTTTAATCTGTTTTATACATTTTTTTTAAAAAAAATTGATTAAATTTACTTTATATTATCAATAGTTAATAAAAACAACAAGTGTTAGTTTTATATTTGAATTATTCATTAAGCGATTGTAACCAACCATAACTGTATAATAATTTAATACTATATACTGTATAACTATAAATATTTAATAAATATTTTATTTATATATATATATACAGTATACAGTATAATGATTAAACAAAATTAAATAATTAAACAATATACTCTATTTAACAATTTACTAATGTATAATATATATATACTGTATATATATATATATATATATATATATACAGTATATATATACAGTATATTAATATAAATATATATATATATATATTTAGAAACAGTAATTAAATTATTAGCATATTTATATTATTATTAAATAAATACAAAACAATATATATATAATACAAATGTTTTACAACAACAACAAGAAAAAATTTTGTATAATTTTTGTAAAACTTTTGTATAAATATATATATTTATTTATTTAGTATAAAAAAGCCAAAACAAAAACAAAAAACCTAAAATATAATAAATTTTATTTTATTAGATTTTTTGGAGATCACTAAAACAAAAATCACACAAAAACAACACCACAAAAAAATAACATACAAATTGAACCAAATCTTGTTTATTCAAAAAAAAAACTATTTAAACCCATTTATATAAAAATTTATTGATATATATATACTATATCAATATATACTGTATATATATATTTAACACTTTTCAATAAAAATCACTTTTTGTTTCCCAATGAGATTTAACTATAAAAATCAAAAAAAAATCATACAATGATTTTCTATATCTTTTTCTTAGATATCATGTTGTGTTAAACAAAACGTTAAATTGAATTAGACTGTAGTTTTAATCAATAGAAACTTACAGTATATATACATATATATACTGTATAAAGTGTTATATATATAAATATATATTAAATAGATGAAATGTGTTTACAATAATAATAATAAACACATATATATATATTTCCAATAAATAGTTCACATACAATAATATCAAATAAATAGTGTATGTAATAAAGTTAATCATAAAGAAAAAATAAATTTTATATATATATATATAGTGTTGGTAATTTTTTGCAATTCAATTTTCGATTGCCGCAATTGCTGAAAATTGCTTGAAATTGCTTGAAATTGCGCGCATGAGGGAATGTATAAAAATTAACTTTGACAACGTTAAAAATTTGATTTACTATAGATTAAGATAATTTACTAATTTATTATTATTTTTAACATGGTTTTAGATGGCAACATTTTATGATAAAATGATTAAAATTTATATAATTAATTTATGTTTTTATTCATATTGCTTTACCATTTAAATTTTGTTAATTTTTAAAAAATTATAAATTGTTCTATGTTACAATTGCGATTTTCGCAATCGAGCTTTTTGCAATTGCGGCAATTTCACGCAATTTCCGACCAATGCAATTGCGCATTTTGCAATCGGTACATCACTATATATATATATATATATATATATATATATATCCATAACTATCTAACCCTAATAACTGAAATCCAATGTCACTGAGCAACAGGAGATCCGACTTTGACTTATAAAATAAAATATAAAAAAAGTCATCACTTAGTTGTTATATATATATATACAGTAAATAGATATTTATATATAAAGTATCAATATTTTATCAAATTTTATTTTAATATTTATAAATATATATATATATATATAGAAAAATGATAATAAATAAAAATTTTATTATTAATATTTTAAAATCTAAACTAACATAATATTTATCTAAATATTTCCTATTGATTTTACAAAATACAAAAATATATATATAAATATAGATTATTTAAAATTTCATACTATTTATTATTTAATATTTTATAATAAATTTTTTTATTTATTATTATTTTCATTTTTATTTAATATTATATATATATATATATACGGTATATTTATTTAGAGATTTTAAAATGAAATTTGATAAAAACAATTTTAATAATAATAATCAAAAAGATTTTATGCCTTAAATTAAAATTCAATATTTTTTTAGCTAAAATAATTAATTAAAATTAGTTGTTATTAGTATTATATAATTTACTAAAAGCAATATACAGTATATATAATTTATATATATATATAATAACTGTCTATATTATATATATTAATTTAATATATAAATGTCAAAATATGTAATTTTATTTTATTTTAGTTATAGATTTTATATTTAAATACTGCTAATGTTTTTTTCAATTATGATTAGTTTTTCTTTAGTTTTATATAAAATAAAACTATTTAAAAAAATGATTTAATAAGTATTTATATTTTTTTGCGTGGGATTTATATATATATTGATATTGAATATATTCATATTATTATTATTATTATTACTGTATTTATACAATTCATATGAAAAATATTTTATATATTTAATAGTTAGAAAAAATAAAAAATTATATAAATTAATAATTATTAGACAATCAATCGATTAACTTATTATATAAGTGCTATCATTATATAACTTGACATTTAAAAAAATATATAAATATATTATATAATAATTTTTTTAAAAACATATTATTACAAATTATTATTATCTTATTTTCTATTATTTAATATATATATATATATATAAATTCCATATCTATATTATAATGATTATCAATATATCGTACCGGTAATATCATGATAAATAGTAACTTC